TTTCCATAGTTCTTTTGTTATTTGTCATCTATCGTATGTTAGCGGTACATGATGTTGGTAATTCAACTGATTTTTCTTTGTTTTATTTTACTTCAGCATACATGTATGCATAAAATGTCATGATTATGATTTCTGTTTGTTTATGTATCCATGTGCATTTTCTGCTATGAGCCATGTACAAACCATTCTTTACTGGTCCAGGAGCCTGAAAGGGTGTTGTGGAATGCAAGAGTGAGAGATGTTCATGTGCAGTTCATGTGAAGTACCCTTTCTTAATACAAGAAGCAGGTGTCTGGAGAGGTGTTGATTAATCATGAACACCTGCCACTTTGGACTTTACCCTACCTCAGAATCTTTGTGGCTGTTACAGCGGAGTGGTCCAGAAAAGTCTTTATTGACAAAAAAAATAACAAAATACCACTTCATTCCTTGGGTGGCATCTGTCCTTGGTGCTAGAATACTATCAACACAACACAAACAAGTGCAGATTAGGAGCAAAATTTTCTAAGTTCTGCTGCCTCACATTGGTCACATAAAATACCTCTACTGTCCTTGGGTGGCATCTGTCCTTGGTGCTAGGCACAACACAAACAAGTACAGATTAGAAGCAACATTTTCTAAGTTCTGCTGTCTCATGGTAATGTTTGTCATACGTCTACTGTCCTTGGGTGGCATCTGTCCTTGGTGCTAGAATACTTGTGCCATCAGCACACTACAAACAAGTACAGATTAGGAGCAAAATTATCTATGTTCTCCTTGGGTGGCATCTGTCCTTGGTGCTAAAATACTATCAGCACAACAAGTTCAAGTCAGGAAAAAAATAGTAAGCTTTCCCCCCTCATACTAATGTTTGTATGTTTGTACATGACAGGTTTACCTCTGAATATGATTCTGTTTTATTCCCTATCCCTTCATTTGTGTGCTTATTTGTAAAAGTCAGATGCAAAAAGTAAAATGTATGCAAGTTAAGTGTCTAAGTGTTAGTAATGTTACTGCATAAGAGTGGTATCCTCTAATTCATGAATAATAAAACAATGGTGACCCCATGTCATGTATGCAATGTATGTCGTGCATTATGGGTCAGTATGAGAAAAATGGACCAGATACAAGGGAACATGGTTTTGTGGAGAAATAAAAATACTAACTTCCTGCTGCTTTCCTGTTGTGAAGATGAAAGCGAGGATGCGAAGAAGAAGACAGCCAAGCTTGATGATGACATCGTGCAGGCAACCCGCTACCCCAGCGGATTCCGGCCGCAGCCCGACTTCCCATCCAGAATCGAGCGAGACGATTGGCCAGGACCACCTTCTCCTGCTGCCACAGGTAATACATGTCACACAGCATGACTCTATTTTCTTTAGTCCATTTTACAATAGAAAAGGTGTACATATACTGGCCACAATCTCTTGCTGTCAGGGGCTGATTGGGTCTTCTCCCCAAGAGCTTGTGGCCATACACCCATTCCTATCTGAGAAATACTGTCAGGACCTCAGGATTATCAGTACAACATGTAGTATCATGTACTACAGTTAAGTTTGTTGCAGCACTTCTTGCAGATTAGTGAACTCTCAGCAGATTGCTGCTACCTATTGCCCCTGTGCAGTCAGAGAAAAAAGTTTGACAAAAATTTGTCCCTGGTGCTTATTACAAGGTAATAGCTGAAAAATTCTCTTTTTTATATGAATGTCAGTTAGAAATGTTTTACTCCAAACAAGTATCAACAGGTGTAAGAGTACTGTGAGGAGAGGTACAGGTAATGTTTTTGCTGAATCCGATCACCATTTTCGTTGTCGTAGCTGTCAAGGCTCGTAGCTCGGAGGTTAGTCGTGAGGAAATAATCAGAAGCATGAGGGTTCCTGCGGGGTCTCCCAGTGTAGACAGCAGGGAGTCCCTGGGGGACAGCTGGATCAGTTCACCTCCGACCTCTCCGTTTGGAGATGCCTCGTCTCCAGAGTTCTGTAGTCCTTTGCCTTACGAGCCAGGTAGGAGTCTGACTTTGCCAGCAGAAAGTCCCTTTTTTCACACCAGAAAAAAACACAAACATTTTGTTATCAGTTCTAAATTATTTGAAA